CCACTGGGTCTACACCAGCTCAGGCTATCTCCATCTAATGTCCAAACAAGGTCGAAACCGGTTATGGGGTGTCAGGGTTGGGAGGAGCAACACCGAACCATCGATTCGGATACGGTCCTTGTAATCGTAACGATCGGGGTCTACTCCAAAGAGGACCGAGGTATGAATAGTGATTACGAGTCGCAAACCAACCACACAGCTGGTACAACAAATACAACTTTAAATTTCGTACTGCTGTGCCAAGCGTTGTTTACGGATCTTAGAGGCATAGTGGTCAAGGCGTCAAGCTTTGAACACTACGCCACGAGGCTATCTCAGACTATCTCCATCTGATGAGTCGAAACGAGAATGAAACCGGTTATTGGGTATTAGGGTTGGGAGGAGCAACACCGAACCACCAGAGGTTCGTTTTATTATGTGAATAAGCTTAGGTAAGTAGCACTTCTCACACTTAATCCATCCTGTGTTTTGAACTATTCGGGATCGTTTGGTATGCGTATCTGGACGACTGAGTTTTATTCGTTACAACTGTGTTGTGAGGACCGCTCGTGCACCGAACCTTATCCTCAAAAAAGCTCGGATAATTTGATCACCCTATCTTACCCCCTGTCATGTGCTTACTTTGGTAACTGTTCAATCCTGCGTATGCCCACACCTTTGTCTATTGGTTCACATCTGCTCTACACCTTCAATCTGTCACTAGCAATATTTGATCTTTTGTTATGTTTGTCGCCATTGTAACCGATGCCTCATGCACTAGGTCAGATGTCGCCATCTCCATGGTGTTGAGACATAGTTGCCCCTTCCTCTGAACGATGCAAATGTCATCAAATTTGACACCCTGCCAACTTTTACGTATGCCCTCCACTAACCTCTAGCACGTTTCCTCACTGTGATTGGGCCGTCATTGATTGGCCAGTAACTTTGTGAATAGCTATCGTGGGTGCATTTGTCCTCTGGTTGTCCGTTTGGAGCAGTGGTTTCGACAGCGCTATTCCACCTCGCCAGTTTAATCGCAATTTGTTGTCAACGGCGATATACCGGAATCCTGAAGTATAGAGGCTTGTCCAAATTATGTGACTGGATATTTTTTTAATAGTGCCGTAGATATTGCGATACTAAATTGTTTTGATTTTTGGATCATCAGCTATGCGTCATTCAACCTTCCTCTAGTGAACGTTAGAACTGCAGGCAAAAAGTGCCACAAGAGGATAGACCGCTTCAACAGTGACATGATGATCACAAGCTGATAGGCATACGGCTCAGTTTCTTAGTACCTGCATCGCATGATAAGTAGAGATGCATCTTCATACACGCGAAGGTGTACAACGTCAGTCTGTGACACAGGCGGGCTCAAGGACGCGCGTGAAAGTGTCACTGCTCAGTCAGAGTCCGCATGCTGATTCTGGCTGTGCTAATTAATAACCGAGGCATTATTCACACAAGGATCAGCAACGAACACACCGAGGTGAATTACGGCATCACACGAAATGGAATGCAGCTGTCAGTTGGAATGTAACAAAATGGGAGATATGTGAAGATTACTGAAGTTGAGACGAGCCCTAGATAGATAATCATGTTTCGGGTGTGCAAATGCTAACAAATGGTTGACTTCCTGATTTAAATAAGCAGTGCACAGTTTGATTTGCAAAACGTACAGTTTAAAGTGAAAATGGCATGCGTACCAAGGAGCCTAAACACATGGGTAAAAAAAATAGAGAAAAAAATGAGTCAAAGCAGGGGCGTTTTGCAATATGTTCACCACTGAGTGCGGTTCCGGTCCATATCCGATAGAGCTTCCAACCAAGTGCGCTCGTGAAGCTCAAGCCTCCGACCCAGGTAACTCCCCGTAGCCGCAAATTTGAGGTCAGGGCTGAAACCATGAACCCAAATGGTGCGTTGAGCACCTTTCTGTTGTTGCCAAGTTATAATGATGCATGCGCAGAGCGAGGCGGAGCAACTGCTGAACAGATAATCGAAGCACATGAGCGAAATATCCAAGAATATGCAAGGAATTTATGGAACTTAGTGGTTGACAGAATCCGTCTGAGTTGAAGATCCTATGACGGATGTCAATATTATCATTGTGGTGCTGCCAACGGACACTAGCGAGGCTACGGTGAGCAAAAACGGAAAGTCTATGAACCACGCTCGTGCGAACGTGCCAGGCCTGGTAGCCGCAAGGGATCAGATCGTACCATAGCGCTGTATACTCAACCTCTGAGCGAAAAAAGAAGTGATACCGGTGCCGGAGATGTTTGAGGTAAGCAAGAACTAGCCTGTCTTTGGAAATTAGTAAAAAAGACCCACGCGAAGATAGCTCAAGGTAAGAGAATTTGTCGACTACTTCCAAAGGGATGAGATAAGGACTAATGTCAAGATTGTCATGAAGGAAAACTTTGCACTTCGAAGGGGCAAAGATCATTTTGAACTGAGGCATATGCGGCAAGTACTGTGAAGCCTGCAACGACGCTATCATCAGCATCACGAAGCCGATCAGCCAGGAGCAACTAGATGCCACCAAGTCTAAACTTTATCGGAGCACTAGTCATGTCATAATTATCGAAGCTGGACAAGGAGAGTGATTTGGGGCGACCATGTCTCATACTTAATAGGGATACCGTAGGATTTGGAATAGTCACCAAATACTTGCACGCGGTCCGAGATCGAAAGATGGAATGCCTGGAGAATATGTGTAAACATTGCATCACCTTAACTAATTAACAAGTTGTGTCATACTCCCATGAGGAAAATTTACCCATACTGATCTCGACTTATAGTACGCCTTCTGTGCTTTAGACTGTGATATACCGAACCGGCGCTCGGACTGAAATCACAAATGACGTCAGCATAAAAGGCCAGAAAAACTAAGACAGCCAATGCAGCTGATCAACTCTCTACAACCTCAAAAGAAACATGCATTTCGGAACAAAGATTAAAACAATTTGCAACGGACAATAGTACAGTGATCAGTCAACATCTCAACAGTCCGTGCAGACAAAACAAAAGGACCTTCGACAAAAAAGCGCTCAGGCAAATATGCGGCATTCAAGACAAACGCAAGCATGCAAGCAACATCAGCATCACGTGTTTAAGGGCACACGTTTCCATAACGCATGGTGGCATGGCGAATCGATAATAAAACATAATAGTACTACGACATGCACATATACAAAAACAGTGCATCTAATGAACTAAGCAAGCTAAAGAAAGCACAGATGATACCTATGCTACCGATCGGTCCATGGAGTGCGTAAATTGGACAAAACGTTCCCTCAATTAGCATGCACCAAAGTCCAAAAAATTGACAGATTGGCACACCAACCAACAGAGAGGAAGTGATGGCAGCGAACACAACCAAGCAAATCACTGGGTAGGACATGTTCGGTGAATCACTCATACATAGTACATCTCACCCAATGAAAACATCGAGTCAGAATCGAGAACAGCAAACCGGGTACCGGTGAAGTTGGGGACTGCACCGACTACATCTCCCCGTTTGCGTCGAGCACTGGAGCGCCGCCATGGTTATAGGCGACCCACCGTTGTCGTGTTTCTCGACATAAAAGGTGCTTTCGATTCGGTTGATCGATACACCAGTTCGGACTGACTGCTAAGAAAAGGGATGCCCGGTAAATACATACCTATTATCAGGGCGCTGTACGCGATCGTTAGAGCGGAGGAAAGGTTCATGGAAAACCGTCACCGCCCTTCAGTATCACCAGCGGTGTGAGAAAAGGATACCCGCTAAAACTTTCCCATTTAAGTTCGACATTGACGAAGTCATGGAAGCAGCGATCGCTGGACACAACCTACAAGGTCTGAAGCTACTTCTTGTAGCGACTTCTTGGTTCGCAGTATGCGAACAACATTGCTCTCATATGTGACAGCGCCCAAACGTGCCAAGTAGCACTGGACTGATAAGCACAGGTTGTCGATCGTTTTTGGCTAGACTTTTTCACCTCGAGGTGCTTTTGCAAATCGCCGCCACCTGTGGCGCAGACGCCGTCACTCTCGCCATGAAGGACAGAGTTTAGAATGCAGCCGTCCGTTCAACCATCTTATACGGTTGTGAAACCTGGCCCAGCAAGTCAACAGACATGAAGAGGCTGGTCACGTTCGATCATCGCTGCCTTCGCAGCTTAGCTTATGTCTGATGGCAGCACTTCGTGAGTAATGAGCGTGTTCGGCGTCGCGTATTTGGTGCAGGAAGAGCGCGTGAACCGCTCAGCACCGTTACATCGCGCACCAGGTTCCGATGGCTGAGCCACGTCCTGCGCATGCCAGCACACCGACTCACGTGACGTGTATTGTTTGCGAGCCGGGTGTGTAGTTGGAGGCAGAGGAGGGGAGGCCAAGCGATAATTTGGTCGAGAAAAATGAAAACTCTCACTTTGAAATTGGAGTCTGTTGGTACATCCTGACTACCTGGCTGGGGTCCCAAGGACGATGAACACGTCTTGTTGGACACACTTGCTGATATGGCGAAGAGCTGGCCCCGATGGCGCTTGAGTTGTGAGTTTCCCCTTTCATCTCCTCCCCTTTAGATTCCATTTCCAACAACTATCACATACCCAACGCATAATGTGGTACGCAAAAGTATATTACTTGCTTTTGAACTTGTTGTAGTCTGCAATTTTTAGTATCTTATCCTTTTTGTATTGCCGCACATTAGTTGAGGTATGTTTTCCATCCCCAACCAACGTGCATTAATGGTGATGATGATAAAAACATCGGCAACACCAAAAAACACACATAGTCACCAATGCACCAGAAAAACACTTTAACAGGCAGCCGCAAAAACACACAAATAGTAGACACCGGTCAAAAGTACCCCTGCCAGTATGAACGAGATCGATGAAAATGGGTATGTTGAAACACGTAAGAGAGTGGTCTACACAACTCCAAACAGAAACCTAAACGAATAGACTGAACACACGAATCAGATATATATATATATATATATATATATATATATATATATATCGCACGGCTTACACGGCTTATAGAATAATCTTGGTCTACAGATGAGAAGTATTTCGTACTCGAAGGTAATAAGCAAACACATTACAATAGGGAAGGGACAAGATGTAATCATCCAAACAATGTGGAAAAGATTGAGGGACAATTTGGCATATAGCAACAAAAGATCTAAAGTAATTTTGCCTCCTTCAGAGACATTTGGGCCATTTGCAAGGCACCTTGATGCGTTTTGTGTATACCCAAAAACCCCGTAGCATGAACAAAAATACAACCCGTGAGGCCGATAGCCTGACTCAGTTCTTCATCCCTTAAGCCGCGCCAAGGCTCAGGAAAGGGAACACGATTGATGTAGTGATCCAAGTCAGAAACAGAAATTGCTTGCACGGCCCATGAGTTATCGTCCCGCTGGTAGAGACAGTAGATCGGTCGATTCAAATATGAAACTGGGTCAGAAATATCGAAGGGTCTTAACTTATCCGAATTTCGCTCAAATTCGGCCTTCTCCAGTTGATGAAAGTGTGTAGCCCAAGGACAGTACCTATCTAAGAGCATGATATGCCCAGAAGGATCGACCCGGTGACGGTGCTGAAATGCAGTTGCGACGATATTTTGTGCAGGGTACCATGATTCAGCGTAGTGATGAACTGCGGCATTAAACTCCTTCTCAACCATGGACAAAGCTTCCATAAAACAGGTCTGTAAAACAGAAGTGAAACATCGGGTGGTTTGAGTAGAAATGGGTAAAACGTAAACAAACTGGGAAGGATAGCTTCAATATTACAGAATAACAGGTCTTACAGTTTATTATTATTATTATTATTATTATTATTAATATGGTTGAAAACAATGAAATAACTAAAGCTATACATCATGATTAGCAACTCCAAGTAAATGGCTTATAATTAACAAGTGATCGCAAGGCGAATGTTACAAATCTCAAACACATGTAATAAAAAGTGCAGAGACGCTAGCCAAGCTGCACGATTAGCAAACGGAGTGGGAAACATGAAGGATTTTCCAAGAGATCCTAACTGAAATAGCGTTGGAAACTAGGAGGCAAAAGGCGCTTCCATTGTAATGAATGGGTAAATAGTTTGAATATGCGTAGTTGTGGATGACATGATAGTGTCCGTAGCCCGCGCAAGACTGGTGGTGGTCGTATGCCAGCAAGGTATAGGTACGAAATACTGATGTTCTGCTGATGTGTCTAAACACGTATAAACATACGATATTGTGACGTATTACTATTAATATGACACAAAAATATTGATTAAAGTGATACGTCTGTTGTTACTTAGCAACAAAGGGCCGTGGGGATTAAATTAAAATGATAAAATAATAATAAATTAAATGCTACACATATGAACACACATGAGCTAGACGTCCGGCAGCCGTCTGCCACCGCCTATGGAACAAGAATTTAGAATGTGTAAAAATTTAATGCTTGCCAAGTCGCCAAACATCACCTGAAGGGTTATAAAACCAAAGCTGAAAATTGACAGGTAAAAAGGGAATATTTGGGCTATAGGTGAGTCACCAAGCTATTCACATGAACAAGGATGCAGGTTATCCCACTGCTATGTTACAGAGAGGGATGGTGATGTTTGGTTAGAATTAATTCGTCTTCCGATTGAAAGTAACTGTTTCACGTAATGCAAATGGGATAGGGCATTGTCAAGGCGCCTTTTGAAAAAAATATCAGTGTGGGGGCAAAAATGGTAAGAGATAGAAGGGCGTTCCAAGTTCAAGGCACCCCAACAGAGAAAGAATTTTGTCGATAATCCATTGGAATGCAGTGTGTGGCAAGTTTTAGCTGGTGACTTTCACGTTAGTATCGTGGCTGAGTTGCAACAGATCGCGATAGGCGTGATTGGGATACGCCACTATTAGGTATACCATTATGAGATCACCTCGTAGACGCTGATATTTACCGCTGTACCAACTAAAGGCTTGCAGTTTGCATTGATAGAGGAGATAGAGTAATCTCTTAGCGATTTTGGTCACTGCGTCGTGAAGTCAGGGAGTCCAAGCCTGGATAACACTTTGCAAATGAGGTCTTAATTGCGGATAGATAGATGGAGGGCTTCAACGCCCCGAACGTCTCCCATAGAAGAACACTTCTCGTTCGATTTTCGGTCTGTTTCGAGCAGCCACGGTTATCGTGTACAATTGCTCCGAGATCGCCATCCTGCACAGCATGCAGCAACTGCGGCTCTCCCAGTAGACATTCAAGAGCACACGAATATGGCATGTTCAGAACATTGAATTCCGTCACGTTAGACTGGGGCCGGTCTACGGATGACCATATCCTGTCAAGATCTCTAAGCAGTGCCGTGTGGCCCTCCAATGTTTTGAAGTTATGCCAGATATACATACTATCTGCGAACAGCCTGAAGACCGAGTGGAGCACACAGGAAAGTGACTTGGCGCCCACCAGCCTCGAACCAGCCATGGACACAAATCGATCAGTTACCGCTGGAGAGGCTGTGTCCAAAACTATCGCTCGATTTGGAGCACGAGCGTAGACTAAGATCACGCTCTTGTGAAGGCCGACTTCGGCGGACGTCCGCAACGTCGCTATGAGCGCAAAGACAGCAGCCAACTGGCGAAGAAAGCTGTTCTGAATGTGTATCAAAGTACCAAACATATCCGGCTGCAAGAGTGCGCCTTGTTGCCGAGACTGTTCCGTTTATCACTAAAAACCTCAAAGACAGACTCCAGGCTCGTTTGGAATCTTTCGTTACCTTTCAGTTCACCTGCGCCTGTGGTGCTAGGTACCTCGGACAAACGACCAGGTGTCTGTCTGAGAGGATAGCAGAACACTGTCCCGCCCATTTACGGTACGGTACAGTCAAGAGTGCCCACAGCTCCGTCCTTGAACACCTGATTAATACGGGGCATCATGTTCGGACCGATGACGGTTTCAAAGTTTTATACGCCGTATCTAAACGCAACCCAAAAGGAGGAGGAGACGCCTGTTGGCTACGCTGCTGCAACCGGAGTTATGCAAAAAGAGGATGCTTGTACAAGCGATCACGCTGACTTGGCCGAAACGATTGATGCCGTCCGTGCCCAGAAGTAACTGAGCTTTGATGCCCAACCAACCATCTCTTTCTTGTTATGTTAGCATTTCAGTGTTTGGGGGTAAAGTGCGTGACGTATACCACCAGATTGTATGGACTGATCTATTGATTGTCTCTTTGAACTTTCGCTGAACAGTGACCTAAGCATTTACAACTGCGGCGTTAGATAGCTTATCGCGTTGTAGCAAGGTTTCCCATAATTGTAAACGCCTGAGCAGAATTATCGAAGAGCAGCAACTCCTCTTCTTTTAATGCATCAAAGAAAGATGGCATCCGGGCTGAATAAACGCTTACTGAACATCGTCGAACATCACTGGTCGCTATTCGTCAAACGTTACTATCAGCAGGCATGTCTTCAAGTCGCAAATCAAACTGCCAAACTGGATATTGGGACCCTACACAGACTCTAGAACTTCTGGATGCTAGCCGACGTATTGCGGCTGGAAGCGAATACAGGGTGACTCGCAAGAATCTCATGGCAAAAGTGCGTGCTAGCCTGAAGAGACCGAAAAGCTTGGTGGTCTCATCGTGCATCGGACATGGAAACAGCCGCTGCCGTTGGATATTCCGTCTGAAACGGGAAACAAACAGCAGGAGACCTGGTGTTAGCGAGATCATACGCCACGAGAGTGTTCAGCCGATCCACAACATGTCAAAACGCTTGGAGTGTTGGGCCGAACACTGGAAGGCAGTTTAACCCATCTGAGTTATCGCTTACCTTTTCAGGCATTGAGTGCCGTATATGGACCGTCTCATTGTATGCGCTCTCAAGCACAGTAATCAAACATAGAGCAGACTGCTGAAACTGTATGAGGCCACAGGGACAGATAGAATGCCCCCAGCCGTCTCCAAATTCGGGGGACCTACTCATGTAGATGATTTACACGAGTTGTTAGTGCAACTTCGGGAGCAGGCGCCTGTCCCAACAGACTGGAGCCGCTCCGGCATAATCCCAATTTTCAAGGTATGCACCCGTTCGGAATGCAGCAGTCATAGAGGGGTCAGTCTGATCTCAATTGCCTTTAAATTGCTTGCATCTGTCATTTTCTACAGACTGACTGGCACTCGTGAAGGCTAGATCCGTGAAGAGCAAGCCGGGTTTCGTCGAGGTCAGCGCTGCATCGATCACATCTTCCCTTTTGCGTCAATTGTTGGAGCACCACCATGTTCATTGGCGACTCACCGTTGTCTTTCTGATCGACATCAAAGGTGCCTTCGATTCACTCGATCGATATGCCCTTTGGGACTATCTGCTGAGGAAAGGTGTGCCGGATAAATACGTAAGCATTATCAAAGCGCTGTACGCGCATAGTTCGGGCAGATTGAGAGTTCATGGCAAACTGTCGCCACCCTTCAGTATCACCAGCGGTGTGAGACAAGGTTGCCTGCTGTCACCGCTTCTCTTTAACTTCGCAATTGACGAAGTCATGGAAACAGCATTCGCTGAACATGACCCAGAAGGTGTGGAGCTACTTTCTGGTGAGAGAGTCCTTTATTTGTATTATGCGGACGATATTGCTCTAATCTGTGACAGCTCCCAAACATGCCAAGCAGCACTGGACTGATTAGCACCGGCTGTCTATCGTTTTGGGCTATGCTTTGCTCCATCGAAATGCAAAGTACTTCTTAAGGATTGGCAGGGACCCACCCGTGTGCTAACGCTTTGTGGTGATAAACTATAAGTCGTTCAGGAATTCAAGTACCTGGGCAGCTATATCAGCGTCCGTTGGATCGAAGATGAGGTTACGAACCGTATAGCAAAAGCTCGAGGTGCTTTTGCCAATCTCCGCCACCTGTGGCGCAGACGCCACGTCACTCTCGTGCTGAAGGGCAGAGTTTATAATGCAGCCTTCCGTTCAGCTCTCCTACATGGTTGTGAAACGTGGCACATCAGGTCGACAGACATACAGAGGCTCGTCACGTTCGATCATCGTTGCCTTCGCAGCTTAGCTCATGTCTGGTGGGAACACCGAATGAGCAATGAGTGTGTTCGGCGTTGCGTATTTGGTGCAGGAAGAGTGAGTGAACTGATCAGCACTATTATATCACGCAGCAGGCTCAGATGGCTTGGCCACGTGTTGCGCATGCCAGCACACTGACTCCCGCGACGTGCATTGTTGCGCGCCGGGGATTCGGTTGGAAGAGGAGGGAGAGCAAGTGATGACTTGGTCGAGAGATATGAAAACCGTCACTTCGATACTGGCGTCGGTTGCTGCATCCCGACTGCCTTGCTGGAGCCCTAAGGACAATGAGCACATTTGGTTGGACATGCTTGGGGATATGAAAAAGAGCCTACCCCAATGGCATTTGTGATGTGTTTCTTTGTCCATCCCCCTCCCCCATAGACATACCGTTTCATCCCGGTTGCATACAAAACGCGTAATATAATAGTATCATACTACTTGCTTGGAGCCCTTTTTGTAGTGTAAGTTCAAGTCTCATTGCGGCACACGAGCTGAGGTGTGCTTCTCACCCTCAGCTAACGTGTATTGATGGTGATGATGATGCTCATGATGATGATGACGATGATGAAGCAATTGCATCAGTTTTCACAATTTAGTCTCATTGAAGGCTGACCAGAGAGACAGTCTTCAAGCAGATCGAAGGACTGCC